TGGGACGGGACGGGGACGGGGACGGGACACGGGGATGGCTAGAGATGCTGGGCCACTTTGGGGCTTACTCAAGGGCACATGCTTTGCTACCACAGTGACTTCAAACATCACCTCAGCAAAATTACAAGAGTATTTCACATCATGGACCATCGTTCTCAGACAGCCAACTCCTTATTCGCTGACCCCTGCGATACTGATTCCGCCGTATTCCTCAGCCCCTTTACCTGAGGAATTATTTCTCCTCATCTTCACCCGAGCCCAGGGAAAAAGGCAGTATTGTTATCTCCTCCTCACCCCTCTGTCTAGAAAGGAGACTTAGAGAGGTTATGTGGCCTCCCCCAGGGGCACGGCTGATGCCGGCTGTGATTGAACCGAAGTCCAACGATTACAAAGACAACCTCAAAACGTTACCTTTATCCCTCGACGGGGAGGGGAAGGCAACTCCCTAGAGCTGAAAGTTCTCATCAGTGACTGTGCAAGCCCAGAGACCTGACAGGCAGATTCCCCGCGCACTGACATCTGGGAGGACTCCCACGAGAAGATCGGGAGCACAAGGAGCATTGTGGGTGGGAGCACACCCTGCAGACAGGGAACAGGGTGCCCCGGGCGGCCACTGCTCCTGACTCCTTTGCAAGTGCTCCTGCTGAGATGATGACCGTCACAGAAGCCAGCCCACGCCAGGAATTAGAGTGCCTAGGGAGAGGCCCTCACCTTCATGCTGACACCAAGGATCTGCAGGCACCGGATGGGATCAGTCAGCACCCAGGTCACAAGCAGGATTGCATCAGCCACCACCAGGGCTGCTACCAAGCCCAGCAACTGCAGGTCTTTGATAATCTGCAAAAGAGTCCAGGTCAAAACGGCTCCTCGCTTGCTGGCTGTGTTTAACATGGGTGCTGGAGTGTGCCCTGTTGCTCTGAGCACAGCACTCTGTGGGAGCCTCCAACGCAGCCATCACCACCACCACCACCACTAACCCAATTCATGATGAGGACTGCAAGACTAAAAACCTTCCCTGTAAGTTATTCAGCTATTGTTATTGGTACCATTAACCATGTCCATTTGTTTAACATTTTGTTGTTTTGTTTTTCAAGACAGGGTTTCTCTGTGTAGCCCTGGCTGTCCTGGGACTTACTATGTAGACCAGGCTGGCCTTGAACTCACAGAGCTCTACCTGCCTCTGCCCTCCAAGTGCTAAAGGCGTGCGCCTCCACCACTCAGCTTGTTTAATGTTTTGATATTCTAACTTTTCTGGCAAAGGTTTCCAGGGGTCTTTATTTCTAGATGTATCTCTATGAACACATAGAGAAATGTGGAGGTTTTTCTGCCCAACTTTGCCGGAACTCGGAGATGGGATTGAAAGATGGAGGAATTATTAATATTTTCTCTACAATTTGACTAGTATGAAGAGAATGCTCTTTTTATGACAATAAATCTTAAATTGATTATGACAATTTAATGAAAGATGTATAATAAAAGTTGTTTTGATATTCATTTTTTTTTTTAGTTCTTTATATACTCCAGATAACTAACTATCAATTGGTAAATAGTTTTCCATTCTGCAGGCTTCTGCTTTGTCCAAATGACGGTGTCCTTTCTGTACCGAAGCTTTTCAGCTTCATGGAGTCCCATTTATTAATTGTTGGTCTTAATGCCCATGCTATCATTGTCCTGCTCAGGAAGCCTTTCCTGTGCCAATGAGGTCAAGCCTGTTCCCACTTTCTTTTCTGCCAGGTTCAGGGGATTTGGTCTTATGGTGAGGTCCTTGATCCATTTGGAGTTGAGTTTTGTACAGGGTGATAGGTGTGGTCGATCACATCCTTGACAACCACCAAAGGAAAGACGCAATCCAGGTAGAAGGTTCGCAAGAGCAAGTTAAACTTGGCTGAATCAAATTGTTCACAAGCGAAACCTCTGCTAGCAATCAGGGAAATGACGCACTCTGTACGGAGGATCAAGACAGTGTCAGACCTCACCATGTAAGGCCAAGCAAGAAGACAGCAGGAGGGGGCATCTCCATCTAAGTACAGGAACAAAAAAGAAACATCCAAAGGTCCACTGACTCGAGTGAGCAAGGCTCTGCACTCCATCCCCAACACCACACAACAAACAAATGGCAATGTAGCGTGTGGAAACACAGTCAAAATAAAGACATTCTCAGCCCCAGGAAGCTGAAAGAGCTTAACACTTCTCCATTCACGTTTTTAATCCTTCAGATCAAAGGGGAATGATCCCAGATGAAAATGAGGAGGTAAGGCTGAGCGTGCTTACACACTTCTTTAATTCTAGCTCTTGGGAGGCAGAGGCAGGTGGGTCTCTGTGAGTGGCCGGCCAATTAGGGCTACATAGTGAGACTTCCTCTCAAAAAACAAACAAAAAATGTGTACAGGAAATTAAGAGCACTGGAAATGTGAACTACATAGAAAAACATATGATCTAGTCTGCTAAATACCTTTAAAAGGTAACTGTTTAATAAAACAATTATTATTATGAGTGGGGCTTGTAGCACATGTAAAAATGGAAGCAATAACATGAAGATTGGGATGGGGAGAAATGGAAGTACATTATTACATGGAGATTATCCCATGACAGCGAGGAGTATGTAATAATTTTATTATCATATACAAAGTACTCTAGAAACTGAAGAGGAAGGAATAGTTCCCAACTCCTTTTACAAGGCCAGGATTACCCCAATACCCAAACCAGGTAAACAAATGCACTCCAGAAAAAGAAAACTACAAAGCAATATTTACTAAAAGAGTAAGTGCACAAATCCAAACAAAATTTCCATAAAGAGGAATTCTACCAAATACAAAGAGTTTAACACAGCGTGACCCGCCTGAATTTATCCCAGGTTGGGATAAATGTTTGGGCATCCTACAATCATTTAACACAATCCACCAGATGAGCAGACCAAACAAGAAAATAATAGGATAATTTCAATAGACATGGAAATTTGTTAGATAAAACCCAACACCAGTATTAATAAAATTCTCAGGAACTTGAGAGAAAAAAGAACCTTCCACAACTAGAAGAATGATCTATGAAACTACAGCCAACATCCATGGCTTTGTTTGTTCTTTAAAATGTTTTTACTAGTCTACATTAATTATACATGATAATACAACTCATAATTACATTTTCATACATGTACATAATGGGTTTTTGTGTGTGTGTGTGCATGTTTTTGTTTTTGAAACAGGGTCTTGTTCTGCCTGGCTCCAAACTCATCAAATTCCTGCCAAGGCCTAGGACGACTGGAATAAGCCACACACTCAATCCATGCTTAGCGTGGATCGGGAATGCCTTCCAGATAAGTCAAGACTAATTGAAGCGGACTGGAAAGGGGCTCATTCCTCAAGAGCACCAGCAGAGGTTCAATTCTCAGCATCCATATGGATGCTCACAAACATCTGCCACTCCAGTTCCAGGGGATCTGATGCCCTCTTCTGGCCTCCTTGGGCACTGCATGCACATGGTGCACAGGCACACATATTTATATAAAACAACAATAATTGAAGGACATTTTGCTCGTCACCTCAATTTGAAGTTGTACTTTTTTTTTTTTTTACAGATTCTATCAGAAAAGAGCTCTTTATTCACAGGTGATATGACATCAATACAGAGAATCTAACGGAGTCTATTAAAAAGTTGCTAGAAAATCTGCATATGCTAGAACAACTGTAATCCAGCATTTCGGAAGCAGAGACAGAAGGAACACCAGCCTCCAAGGCCAGCCTAGAATACATAAGTCAACCTGGATTATATTGTGAGACCATCTTAGAAGATAAGGCTGCTAAAACTATTATCTAATTTAGCAAGGTTGAAACGTACAAGATCAGCACCAAAGCCCACCTATCTGTCTGTATCTGGGCAAAAAGCAATGAAAAAATATAGTTTGCAAAACAATAAAACATGCAATGTATGACAAAGGGTAATAAATCTGAGAAATATGTGAAAGATCTATACTTGAGAAATACACAATATTGCAAAGATAAATTAATAAAAACCTGAAGAAGTGGAGAAATGGACAATAGCCATGGGCTAAAAACCAACATGGTTAAGTCATCAATTCTCAATAGTTTGATCTTAGATTCAATTACATTTCCAGTCATAATCCCAACATGACTTTGTGTAGATTGGCAAACCAACTTAAAAACTTGTTTGAGAGCTAGTGAGAAAGCTCAGCAGGTCAACCCGCTTGCCAACAAGCCTGGTGGCCTGAGCTGATCCTCAAGTCCCACACGGTGAAAGGAGAGGACCATACATATGCTGTGGTAAGTGTACCCCTCTGTCTCTCTGTCTGTCTGTCTCTCACACGCACACACATAAAAACTCTAATATTTCTAGAAGTAAATCCAGGAGGGAACATCTTGGTGCCATGAATCTAGCAAATATTTCTTATATTTAACCTCCAAAGCATGATCCACAAAGAATAAGTTAGCGCTGGATGTGGGAGCACACATCTGTAATTCCAGTACTCAGGAGGCAGAGGCAGGCAGATCTATAAAGTCAAGGCCAACCTGGTAACACATAGTGAGTCCCAAGCAAGCCGGGGCTACACAGTAAGACCTTGTCTCAAAAGCAAAAACAAACAAAACTAAGTTAAATACACACTTACCGTATGAGCAGACCATTCTAGGCTCAGGTTTTGAGCAAAAAGAAAGGGAAGTTTGTTTTTTTAATTTTTATTTATTTATTTTTTTAATTTTATTTTTTGTGGGGTAGAGAGAGTGTGGAGAAAGGGAAGTTTTTATCTATGCAAAGATGTGTACACAAATGCTCACACCATCTTTATCTGTATTAGTCCCAAACTGGAAACAACCCAAACTCCATCAATGTGTAAACAGATAAACAACTGATGCACACAGCAGCAGGGATGAGGAGTTATATTCAAAATAATTACATGAATAAAATAAACCAAACTAAACAAGAGTATCCACTGCATAGTTCACAGCAGACATTATTCCCACTGAACAGTCACCAGGAGCAAAATTTCATTTTCATTTATTTACTTACTTGTTTGCTTGTTTATTTATTTGAGATAGAGTCTCATGTGTCCTCACTATGTGACTAAGAATGACCTTCAATTTTTTTCCCAATGTTTTGTTTTTAGGAGCTGGAGAGATAGCTCAGTGGTTAAGAGCACTAGCTGCTTTTACAAAGAATCCGGATTTGGTTCCCAGCACACACAAGGTGGCTCACAGCCATCTGTAACTCCAGTTCTGGGGCATCCGATGCTCTCTTTGTACCTCCTTGGTCACAGGCACACACATGGTACGCATACATATGTGCAGGCAAAACACTCATACACATAAAATAAATGTCTGAAATTTGTTTTTTTTAAAGAATTTTAAAATCTAAAATTTTAGTTTTAAATTATGTGCATGTGTACACCTGTGTGCAGAAATGTGCACATGCCCGACATGGGTGCTGGGAACCCAATTCCGTTAACTGCTGAGATAGCTCTCCAGCCCATGATTCCATTTATGTGAAACTCTGGAAAGTGAAAACTAATCTTTAATGCCAGAATGCAAAACACTGGTGTCCTCCAGATAGGGAGGGCCAATGTAACAAGGTAACAAAATGTAACAATGGGTAGAGGATGTTGAACATCTGGGGATGGTAGAGCTTGCTAGATCATGGATTAATACATAATATATATATATTTTTTTTTGGTTTTCCAAGACAGGGTTTCTCTGTGTAGTCTCTGTGTAGGTGCCTGTCCTGGATCTCACTCTGTCGAACTCACAGAGATCTGCCTGCCTCTGCCTCCCGAGTGCTGGGATTAAAGGCGTGCACCACCACTGCCCGGCAATATTACATGTTTTATTCAGGAGAGAGGGCTAATACAGTCCCTCACTATCGCAAATTACACAGTCGAGTTTCCTGTGTGTGAGGACATCTCAGGGGTCAGCACACCCCAAATGCAAAAGGGTGAGCCTCTCTGTGGGAAAACCACCCCTACCCCCCACCCCCCACCCTCACCCCCCACCCCCGGGGCTGGCCAGGTAAGCATCATGTCACACTTTCAATATTGTGTTTTTTGTCTGTCAATTCTGCCTTAAAAAAAAAAAAAAGCTATTTTTGGAAAAGGTATTAAGAGGGAGATGAATTCTGTCCGTTTAGCCAACTTTCTGCATCTGTGTGGTTACAACTTTTGCTAAGTAGTCACCGTGATTCAATAATGTTTGGTTTTTAAAATCCCATAATTACAGAGAAGTCGTCTGACAGAATTATATATGAGGTCTGGGGAGTCTCCAGCCAAAGGAGCCCATGGTCTGGCTTTGAGGTCTGGGCGGCCATATCAGGGAATCTGATAAAATGTTAGAGTATGGTTATAATAAATGCTGGATGCCAGGGACATGTGGGTGACCCGGCTGCTGCATGGCTTCCACAGTTAATTCTGCCTGCTGAGGCCCTTTGCTTGCTCACTGCCTTACCTATGCTCGTCTCAGTAGAGAGAATGGCCTGCATGGAAAAGACCCGCTCTAGGGAGAGGAATCATTCTGCTATAGCAATCTTCTTGCTATGGTTTCTCTACACTCACTCTTTCCCTTGCAGTTCCCGTCTGCGCCAAGAGCCCGCCTCTCTGGGTATCTTGTTTTCGCTCCCACTGTGCCAGTATTGGCCAGCTCACAGGTTCCCATGGAGCCTGGGGTGGGTGGACTTCAAGCAGCCCATGTCCCCGGCAGCACTCACTCTCAGTCCTAGAAGTCTGGGTCGGGCTTTCCGGAGCCACGCGACTCAAGGACGGAACTACGGAGCAAGAATTCCAGCCATCCTACCGTCATCCCAGAGATTTGCACTGACTCCCCCAGCTCCGAGCCACCCTGGAGCTCCTGCTGCAACCCAGCCTTGTGGACCAGCTGCCAACTCACCACTCTCTTGTCCGGGACCCTCTGGGTAAACACCTTGTAGAGTCGCCAGCTCTTCCCTAGAATGGGCCCAAACACAAGGGACGTCCCAATGCACAGCATGGACAGTCTCGCCTGTGGGTGGAAGAGGACAGGAGGAAGAATCACAAGCGGAACCTTCATCCGTCTTCAATGTCTCAGGCCCACGGAGGACATGGGGTGGAAAGTGGGTCTCACTGAATGTGCCCATAACACAGACACGTAACTGCCACTCACAGGAAGAGCCGTGAGCATGAAACATTACCAAAGTTCAACACGGTATCTGAAACAAAGTTTCAAAATGTCACCTACCTGAATGAGTGCTTCCATTGAATTCCCCACAAAAGCATCTTGAATCCCAAAAAGGTAAGCACTACTGTAAGTCAGACAACTGCCCAGTAAGGTCACCATGTTCAGATTGGGGCTGGACATCTTCACAATCCTAGGTGGAAACAGCAAGAGCGGTACAGCTATGACCCATTGCACTGATGTCCAAGACACGCCAGAGCAATACTTCTTCCGGGGACGATCCCCACTGCAACCCCAGTCACTGGGAAGGAGCCACTGTGTGCCCTCCCAAAAACCTACGGTTTATTTACATTCATTTAAACCAGGTCCTGTTTTGTTTTATGTATATGTATGTATGTATATATGTATATGTGTATATGTGTATATATATATTTATATATAAAGATAGAACATAATGTAGCCCAGGCTGGCCTTAAATTTGCTATGATGCCCTTGAGCGCCTGATCCTCCTGCCTCTACCACCCCTATGCTGGGATTGCAGGCATGTGTCAACACGTCTAATTAAAAAAGAAATTTATGCTGAGCATGGTGGTGCACGCCTTTAATCCCAGCACTTGGGAGGCAGAAACAGGAAGATCTCTGTGAGTTCGAAGTCAGCCTAGTCCACAAAGCGAGTTTCAGGACAGCCAGGGCTACACAGAGAAATCCTGCTTCAAAACAAACAAACAAACAAACAAACAAACAAACAAAAGACTTAAAATTTTTATTTTATGTCTATGCACGTTTCACTACATGTACATATGTGGGTCATGTGTGTGCCTCACGCCCATGGAGGACAAAGAAAAAGTGCCTGATTCCTCAGAACTGGAGCTCCGGACAGTTGTGAGCTGATGATGTAAGTGCTGGAAACTGAACCCTGATCCTCTGCAAGAGCAACTAGGGTTCCTAACTGCTGAGCCACCTCTGCACCCCTACTGGCTTTTTTTTTTTTAATCTTAAATTCTTGCATCTGTTGCTTACATAACTCAGAGTTTTTTTTTTTTTTTTTTTTTTTTTTTTTTTTTTTTTTTTTTT